GAACAGAGAATAGTACATTCTTTCTAGAATCATCAAATTTTCGTTTTTATAAAGAATCAAGGGCGCACAGAGGTATGGAATAGCCGTCAACTACAGCTCTTGAAGAAATATAGAAAAGGAAATATATCTTTTTTTTAAGTCATAATTGGCATGAATGGCGTTTCTTCGCTGCCAAGAGTTTCTTCGTTCAACGTTAGGAAACTTGAAACAAAGGGACGGACACTAAAAGATGGTTGAGCGGGAGATAGCGCATGGTTCTACCATAAAAAATATTTACCCTAGTTTCTTTTTTCAAATTTTGGTGTTGCAATTAATCTGAAAAGGGGGATAATTTTTCATTCGACTTGTGGTTCTCATCATGCAGGATACCGTGTGTGTTGCATTTCGATAATGCTTGCACACAGGTGGAGCTTCGCGAGGGCATAGTGGGCCATGGCCCCCACCTAAGCTAGATCAATTATTAATGAAGGTCTTAGCTTTCTGCTTTAGTTGTTAACGAAATATTAATATGCCCCTCTCTTCTTGCATTTTAGATCATATTGGCCCCCTCTGCGTTCATGGCCGAGCTCCGCACTGTGCATGCATGTTGATAATGGTTTCTCTTGAAATAAGTTTTGCTGGTGGCATACCTGTTACACGTCAGGATTTATGTATGTCCTTTGTTCTGAAAAAAAAATACAATTTTAGATTTAGAATAATCAAATTATTAAGTTTAACAGAGTTTATAAAAAACAATATCAACATCTATATCTCAAAATATGTCTACTATAAAATATATTCCATGGTTAATGTAATTATATTTGTTTGGTATTATAAATATTAATATTTACAGATTTGGTGCATCTTAAGATTAGTTGACTAAAAAACAAAGAAAACTGCACTCTTTAGGAACCGGAAGTTTTTTTTTGTCATGTTGACAAGAGAACACCAGAACAGCCAAAAGGTTATTATGGCTAGGTTTTTGTTCGGCCAGGCTCCCGTACAGTACTGACCTTCCCCTAATCCGGCCTAAACAAAAACAAAGTTGTCTTCAGTTGTGTGGCGCCAGGCATAACCCTACCTATGATTCCCTGTAATAATTCTAGCACCAGTTTGTAAGCAGTTTATTTCTCAAAATATGCAATAAAGGAACCACTTTTTATATGCCAAATAATGTCTGAGTATGACATTATCAAGTAACGAGCACAAGGTGTAAATGTTTGCTCTAATAGGCGAGTTTTATCTCAAGACTTCTACGTGTTAGAAACAGTATATATAAACAAGTTTCGTCTTCATAAAACTTCTTTCATCCCATACAATTTTTATTATATCTCTCTTTATTAACACTATGTCAGTTTATTTAATGCTCATGAAACCCATTAAGACTTGCCTAATAATTCTACAAGCATCAGTACACTACCATATGATAATTGTACATTTCCTCTAAAAATGTATTCTAATAATAGTTTTTTTCCTCTACCAACCAATGAACGACCGAGATAAGGCATTAAATTGTGTTTATATATTTGTAAAAAGATCCACGCGTACAGTATCTGATTAAAACATTGGAAAGAATATTAAACAATCTGATGATAATAATAAAAGGATATACACACGCGAGTGGACACGCCCATCCATCTTTAATCCTAATCCTATTTGAGAGGTAGTTTTGCCGGACTTCCCCCCTCCTCGGCCGTCGTCAATATTCGGACGGTTGACCGGGGCCCCGCCTCGGCCTCTCTCCCTTTCCAAGGACCGCCGCGTCCGCTCCGTCCCCCACCGCCCTCGGCGCCGGCCGGCCACGCCCCGATCCAGATCCAGGTATGCATCTTCTTTCCTTCAGCCGCAACCGCGTCTCTTTCCTCCATTCCTTCCCCGTCGGCAGGCGTCCGCACCCCCTCCCTACGCTGGACGCCTCTGGCATGGAGTGGAGATCCGAACGGGGTTGTATGTTCCCCTTCCAGTCATCTTCGCCGGTTCGGATAGGGATAGGATGGCCTTGCTTGTTCGTTTCGTTTCGGCCTGCAGGATTCTCCCCCTTCTTTGATGTGAGAGCGCTGGAATCCAAACCTCCGCTTACATTTCCAGTCAGTCGGTTTTTATTTTAACGATTTCTTTCTAGGATTTGCCCTGGTGCGTTCCGCCAATGTACCTCAGTCGTTATTAATGCTTACGTGGTTAAATGTTTTCTTCAAACTAAATCAGAATTATCAATTTGGGTCCATGTGAATCGGAATAGATGGTGCGTAATAGTACTATGTGTTCTCAGTATAGTTGCCGATTTGTTCTGCTTCTGGCCTGGATCTTTGATCCATTAGGGGGAAAAGAACTGATTTGGATGTTTTTGTTTTAGCCTTCAACACGCAGAAAAAAAAATCTGGGATTCCATTGCGATAGGGACCACGATAGTGCCGCATTAAGCAGTCGTTTTCGCTATGCATTGCACAGTGTCGTTCTGCACTTCCACTTCAGCAATCCCACTCTCAACAAAGACTGTGCTACCTGAACTTTAGTTGACTTTTTTTATCCCCACAATTCAAAAGCTCCGGGCAAGGATATAGATAGTAGCGCATTTGAATCCTCTAATTTCTTTCAGGATAGTAGCTGTGGTAATTTTTTTAATATATATTTTTGGCCTTTCATGCTGTCATGGATAAACATGTGAGCTTTAGTTTAGTGCTCACTGCCCAATTACCTTATATACAATGGACTTTTGGCCCTCACTTGTAAAAAAGTGATATTGGGCTCCTGATTTATTATTTTGGTATCACGTATGTTTTCCGATTTATTGGAATTCAGAGAGGTGGGGAACATGCACTGTCTCTTGTAGTTTCTTTACTTAATGAACTAGCTTTCTCCTATGTGACAATTAAACCATGCTGCTTGTGCCAGGAAACTGTATGCTTGCACATGCTTTTAGTGCTGCCTTTTGTGATGAACTGATGTTGCACCCAGTGGTGTACTAGAATTTCAATGTGTACAGAGTTCTAGTAATAGATCCTGGTTTGTTTTGATGTTATTAACTTATTATGCCTAGGAGCCTTGGATTGTCACGTGGCACAATAGGTGATGATGATTCCAGAAATGTTGCTTGTCCATTAATGTTCAGACTCTCTTTAACTTTGATTTTTTTTTATGACTGATGTGATACAGTGGGTTATAATTCTTTTCCAGAAATGATGATTATCCATTAAGGTTCTGCTGGCAGTTTTGACAGTGGAAAGATTTTCTTTTTCTGTGTTTTTCATGGACTGGAAAGTCCAGCGAAATCAGGCATTTCAAACAGCAATCATTATTTGAAATTCCAGTTCTGTTGTGTTTTCTGTTTACTCAAACAACGATGAGTTGGAGTAACTTGAATCATTCTTATCCCTTTCTGTTCTGTCCATCACAAAATAGATCCTCTCCTTCCCTAAAGAAATGTACTGAAACTTTCTTAGCAAGATGTTTTTATCTCTGTGTTCTATAGCTCCTTAGATTTTTTTTCTCTCTTAATATATTATTCTGATTTGAATTTAAGAATGGGGAGAAAATTGTGAATTGTGAAATATGAACTATGCAACATACACTGAAATATATTTGAATCAGAGAGTGACATGTTTCCCCTTTCAAAAATGGATATAGAACTACCCATATTATCGAAGAAGACAGTGCTTGTTTAGTAAAATTGTAAATGATTATCTACTATGTGGCATGATTCGGGTTCTAGATATGTGCATATCATATTTCCATTAAAATGGAGCTGTATAGCCAGATGTGAAACTTAGTTTATTTGTTTGCTCTGTTTACTGTCTGTTGAGTTCTAGTTGAGTCACCAAAGTCTCACAGCATATTAACACGTTCGTGATTGATTTGAGCTACTGATGGTTTATTCACTTAAGCAATCTTTCTTGTGAGCGTAGAGCTTGAAAATACTTAGCTCATTATTCTTGTCTCTTTTGGACAGGATTCAAACAAACCAGTACATTACCACCATGGTTCTTGATTCATTATCATCTCCTCACAGGAGGTCCCAAAACACATTCTTCGTATCATCTGCAAAAAAGCCTCAGTCATCTCGTGATGACAGTTGGTCTGCACTGGTTGAGCGGCACCGGTTCCTCCTAACAACACTTCTTGTGCTTGCCTTCCTGTGCACTATCTATCTGTACTTTGCAGTAACCTTGGGGGCATCAGATGCTTGCACTGGATTGGCAGGGGCAGAGAGGATTGAGTGCCAGGCAAGATCAGTGCTGCAACATGGAAAGTTGAAATTCCTCTGACTTTGGAGACTCATTGATGGAAGACCAAATTATTGAGTTTTATATGCAGTCTGGTCACAGGTCTTATTCTTCATACCATGAATGAATCTGTATATTTTTGGTGGTGGGTGGTTTGTATTCATGCTGATGTTATTGGACCACAAAATTTACTGTACTGGTAGAGGCAAATCTAATAGAGTAATAGTGATAGTGTTGAGTTTGTGGAAACTGTTATACTGGGGTAGGTCTATATGGTTCTTTTACCATGGTGTGCTAAAAACACCATGGCGCCTGTAATTCGTCCAGGAGATCTTGGTATTCGTCTCCCGTGTGACATGTGACTCAGTTAATTTGGTACCGTGCTACCTGAGTACCCTTTGATCCCTAAGTAGCAAATAATTTTGTTAGTGTTGATCTTAATTTGTTAATAATCAACTGTTCACTGAGAAGTTTGTTAATTTTAGCGAATTATTGATGTAAATATGACAACCTGGAGCATGATTGTTTGCTGTTGCGTTATCGTTTCCAGCTTCTTCTTGTTTTGACGGAGTGGTTGTAGAATCAGTAGACATCTGGTTTCATCCTGTAACTTAATTCAACCAAGTAGTAAATGAGTTATATTCTTTCAGAGAATCAGCGGTGAACAGGATTAAAGTTCTATTTAAACAATAAGAGCTGTAACAAGATAACAATAATAATAACAGAAAAAAATACAGAGCTGCAGGAGCTGTACATTACTAATCATACAAACTAATGCTGAAGGTTGTTTGTGTGCCCTTATCAGATTTTATCGACACGGCTGAAGATTGCAACACTCGAAGGTTTAAAGAAAAACAGTGCTCCGAACCATAACCAAAGTCCAAATGCCAGCCCAGCTAATATGGAGTAATACCAGCTTAGAGCTTCAAGCTCTTGGTGGTTTCTACTGAACTTCGTTGCAGAATTTGAACCATTTGAACATACTATGTTCAGTGGGAAACCACAGAGCCCAAAGTTGCTGCTATAAATCGAGGGATCGGTGAGTGTTTGGAGTTGATAACCAGCTGGTATCTCACCTGATAGATGGTTGGACAGATTGAGCGAATCAAGAGACATCAGCTGCGAGATGCTTGGAGGGATGGAGCCGGAGAGTTCATTCCAAGATAAATCAAGAGACTCCAAATTCTTGAAACCTCCAATGTCTTCCGGGATACAGCCGGAGAAACGATTTCTTGACAGGTTTAGGAACCGTAGACCTTCAAGTTTTGTCAGCCCTGAAGGAACTTCACCAGAGAGAGAGTTGCTTGACAGATCGATGCCTGTCATAAGCGCAATGGTTCCAGCGAAAGTATGGTATTGCCTCTTCCAGTTTACGTTGATTCGTTCGAAGTACGAATAAATGACAGACTCATGCAAAATTTGGCAGGTCACTTCCAACGGTATGTTGAACTCTGTTCTTGGCTGCTGCATGGATGTTAGATTGGCGAAACCTCTTGGTATAGAACCTACCAAACTATTGCCTGCCAGATCCAGCAGTTGTAGGGAAGAGAGCAGTGATACGTAGCTGCCATGGAATGCTCCCAAGGAACATGTTTGATCGTAATCGAAGGATCCTTAGCGATGGATGGCTAGATCCTATCCATGAAGGAATTGTTCCAGAAAACTTGTTCTCACCAAGATCTAGAATCATTAGACTCGTGCATCTCTTGAGGACTAGAGGGAATCCTCCCATGAGGTCGAGCGCATCAAGCGTGCCGTGGAGGCCGGCGCTGGGGAGGATGAGCCCGGCGACACGGCCTGCGGCGTCGCACTTGATGCCCGACCAGGAGCACGTCGGCAGGGTAGGCGACCACGTGGGCAGAGGGGTCGACGGTGATGGCTTCTCGCCGTTGTTGGCCGGCAGCAGGGTGGGTGGACTTCCATCGGAGAAGCGGTTCAGCTTCCTTCTCGTCGATGGCACCTGATGTGCAGAGGAGGAGGAGCATAAGGAAGGAGGCGTGTAAGATTCTTTGCATGGGTTTTCGTCCGGAGTGCCATGGCCGGGCATGCGGGCGATTCAGGGAGGGAGCGTGACCAGTTATTCTTTTATGGATGGGATTTTGGGAATCATCCGTTGTGCAAGTGGCTGAACTGAGCTGCCACCCACTTGCAATGGAATCTTTCAAAAAAAAAAAGACTTGCAATCGAACCACGAGACTAAACTGATGGCACGCGAAATATCTTAGTGACGTATCAAGTGTTTATTTGGTTGAATTATCTTCCACTGGATCATCTCATGAATTTGATTAGAAAATACCATTCCTTACATTTATGTCATTTAACTTTTTTAGGGTATAGTTTGCTTCGGCGCCCAAGCATATAGTTGCCTGGTTAGGCAGCGACCGAGACAATCGATTTTGAGACTATTTGGATCCCATGGCTAAACTCTATTTGGATAGAAGGGCTAAAAGGTGGCTAAAAGATGATCTTTGTGTCCTCCACAGCACCTTTTAGCCTCCTTTAGCCTACCTTGAAGGGACTAATGGGCTAACGGAAGGTTAAAGTTTAGCCCCCTTTTAGTCCTCCTGTTTAGATCGTTAAGGGCTAAAAGGAAAGGGCTAATCTTTAGCCCTTTGAAATTTAGCCCGATCATTTCATTTGGTTGCAGCAACACTAATATTGTGCTACAATGTTGCAGTTTTAAACCTATAGGGTCTGTTCGCTTGGAGGAATTTGGATGGTTTGGAAGAATGCTGGAGGAATTTGTGAGAGAAAAACACTGTTCCGGATGAAAAAAGAAGCGGATCAAGCCGGGTTTAAGGGCACGCGAACGGGGCCATAGTCGCAGCCGCAACATAGTCAAAAGTAGCTGAAGCGATCGGTGGCTTTGAGCTCTTGGTAGCTAGGATCATTACATATTAAGATCCAAATGAGTCCTTAGATAATAATAATGGTAGCCTATGGTGGCCCCTTAGATAATGGTGGTAGTCTATGGTATATGTAACAAAAAAGGGATGCATCTATTTTTATGTTTATTTCAAAATATGGATATGAAGATTTGAACCTGGTGGATATGCTTAAACAATAAGGTGGCAGTGGATGAATACACTTTGTTCCTCAAATTAAATCAGTGGACTTTTGTTTAATACTACTTGGATTGTTAGTCATCATCAACCCCTTTCCTCGTCACCCTATTGATGGAGGAAACTGACACTACCAAAGCTATAACGCCATTATTTCCATTGCAGAGGCCATTTCTACTACGTCTTTGTCCTTGTCCTTGTCGTTGTCCTTGTCCTTGTCATCTAGTAAATGGATTTTTTGTATGGATAATGAGAGCAGCCCCAAAAGCACCAGCGTGGCTAATAGCCCTAACCTCCACATATGCTCCAAAGCTCTATGTCGTCACAGATATTTGTGATTTCCTAGACTGCAGAGGTAGTGGCTATTCCAGCTAACAAAAGATTGAAACACCCACGAGGCCACCAGGAGTCGCTTGCATTGCTACTACCTTCATAACAACAAACCTTACACGCTTCTGGTCGCTATCAGGATTTAAGAGCAGTAGCTCCATACATTGTAACATCACGCTCCAGCATTGAATTTTCAGACATAAATGTTAATTTTTTGGGCATAAGTGGTGTACGTAGAAATTATATGTGAGAGAGGCCAAGACACCCATCTCAAAGAGGCATTTCTAGAGTACATGAATTGACATGCAATTTTTTCTACAAAGATGGCATGATCTTTGACGAAAGAAAAGATTTAAGGAATCGAGCGATAGAGAAAGAAAAAAAAGACAAGAAGATAATAGTAATGTGGGACGCAAAGATAATTAAAAGGCAATACGTAGAAAAAAAGTATCCGTGATAAAAAAAAAAGAACATCACTTTCCTCTCTAAACTGCGGTGTGATTTTATTTCCTCCTCAAAATCCTAAACTGGACATCTTACCCCCTCATCTTTCATAACCATTTAAATTACATCCGTACCCTAGTTAGAACTGTTTTCATCTTTGTTTTTAGTTTTTTAAAAATTCCTAGAATATTTTTGAACCATGAAAAATATCTCTAAATTTCTAAAAATTCTAAGAAAAAAGTCTTTAAAGATAGATGGGATAGGACAAAGAAAAATATTATAGATTGTGACATACAAACCCCAAATAAAAATATTTAGAACCCGTGAATGTATCTCTAAAAGCTTCCAAAAATTAGATTTATCTCTAGAAAATGAAAAATATAAAAATAAATAAATCCCAGAGCATTCTAATTACTTCGAAACATGTTTTTGAAAACTTCTCACAACAAAAAGACAAGATGCAACTAGATTGGAATATGACACATGGATAGATTACATGCATAGCTTCAAAGTTAGTGAGGTTTACTTATGTAGATATACATAGATGAGCTGAGTGAAATGATATCCGGTTTTTTTTTTTTTTGAAATCTATCCGTTTTAAAAGTTTGAGAAGGAAAATGAGACAATGACAGTAGTACAGAGAGGCAAGCAAAAACAGACCACGGCAGTAGTACGTGAGAAAGCCCATTCGAGATCACAGGCCTAGCACGGCACGACCCATCATACGTCGACCACAAACCGACAAGATAAGCGCATCCCGAATCGGGTGGTTGCCGTTTACCGCGCTAACGGCACCCCAGCTCCAAAACCAAACGCCGTCACTTCCCCCTCGCACTCCCATCGAGATGGCCCTCAAAGCCGCCGTCTCCGTCACCCCGCTGCTGCCGTCGCCTCCCCTCCGCCGTCTCCTGCTCTCCCCCTCTTCCTCTTCTAGCTCCGCGGCGGCTCGCAGGATCGCGAAGGTTTCCGCGGCGATGGCGACGACGGCGGTGCAGCCGGCCGTGGTGGTGGGCGGCGGCCGCGTAGGCCAGGCGCTGCTGTCCATGGGCCCGCCGGGAGGGGACGTCCTCGTGGGCCGCGGCGAGAAGGTGCCCGACGACGCGCCCGGACCGATACTGGTGTGCACGCGCAACGACGACCTCGACGGCGTGCTCGAGGCCACCCCCAAGTCGCGCTGGCGCGGTACGTGCTCTCCAACTCCTCCCACCTCGTCTGCCTGTGCTCTCCCGGCCGATGTGCTTTGGGTGGGCGCTAGCATTTGCTCGTTGGAGTCCGCGTTCGTTCTGTGCCGCTGCTTGTGTGCGATCAGGTCTGTCTATGCGTGTTTTTGCATCGGGCTTGCATTTTAGGCAAACCGTGCCTGAAATACTGAACAAATCGAGCTGGATTAGCCAAGCTGTTCTGGTTACTCAGTTCAATTTTTTTTTTTGTATGTACAATCTGCACAACAGGGGTGTGATGTCATGGTTTAGCAGTTGAGCTAGTCCTCATCTAGTAACAAAAAAGATGTTGGATCCATTTTACAAATGGAAGGTTTAGCAGTTGAGTTAGTGATCATTGATGGATTGGCAAACTCAAGGGAAGTTAGATCCTATGTGCATCCACTCACAAGTACAATATTTTGGATAGTAAACATTCCAGAAGAGCTCGTTTCCTGAAATATGTAAGTTTGGTAAATAATATCTGCCATCAATAGTATGGCTTCACTTCCAGTCACTTTATCAAAAAGTGATCTGCCATGGTTCTATCTTATGCATGCTAACTACAGCATTGTGTACCATTTTTGTGTAGTGTTGTTGCATGTTGGGACTTGTGAGCTAATATTGCAGCAGATTTGGTGTTCTTCCAGAATGGAATGCTGGATCCATGGTTCGAGAGCAAGGGTCTAGTGGACGCAAACCAGGTCTTGGCCTACTTCGCTATATCAAAGCTTGGAGAGCCACCAGTCGATGGGATTACTGATACCAACCCAGAGGGGTTGACTGCTGCATTTGGCAGCTGGGCTCCTTCAGTGGCTGCCCGCCTGCAAAACGGCGGACTTACCTGCAAGGTGAGGTTATGAGCATTTGCTTCAGAAGTTCTGTATTCCGTTCATCCATAAATTTCCCATGTTGGCCATTTTCAAATTTTATATTACTTTTTGTTGTAAGGTGCAAACAAGATAGATATCTACTCAAAAGAATTGTTTGGGCAGCCCTTGCAAAAGTTTGGACCCTTACGTTGAATTGTGTCAGACAAAACTTAGAATAAATCATGATCCCTTCCCTATGCATTATTTATTTTCATCCTGTCAAAATTTGTTCAACGCATCAAAATGGTTTCTCCCTACTATAAGATGTGAGTAGTAGGGAAATGAATATGTTTATTCTAAAAAATGAGCCTACCCCAACTTGTTTGGGACTTAAAGGCTTTGTTGTTGTTGTTGTTGTTGTTGTTGTATTACATAGCAGGTGCAAGTAATACATTACTTAAATCATGAAAGTTGTGCATTTACTTGTCATAACTGTTAGACAAAGGGGTACGGCAGCCTCTTGGACTGTCGTCTGGTTCCTCTTGCTGGGCCTGTGCGCCCCTGTGGGCCTAGCGCGCATATGGCTAGGATAGATAAATTGATCTTGATTAGGCAAGTATCACCATTGATTGGTTCTACTTCTGTAAACCTTATGTCATCCTTGCCTATATATGTGTAACATCATATCCTCCATATCAATCTATTATTCCTTGTGCCTAATCCAGATTAAAATAACATTATAATAACCATAATGATGAAAATCATCAAAGTCAGTGAGCTCAAGGAGTTATGGTTCATCACCAAAATTATCTTCTTGCAATAGGAATCAAAATATTAGTAATTAGTAATGTACTGTTTTCATGTTTGTCTATTGATGTTCTTTCTTTTTTTTTAGAACGTCTATTGATGTTCTCATGTAACGGTCCTTGCACTTACTTTTTTTTTTTTGCATGTTCAAGTATTGAATTATGATCATTTGTAGTAATTGTGTATTTGGGCTGCAACCTACCCCATCAGGTGCTTGAAAAGGAAGCCTTTCAGAAGCAGATGCTAGAAAAGTTGATATGGATTTCAGCTTTCATGCTTGTTGGTGCTCGGCATCCAGGGGCTACTGTTGGTGTGGTGGAAAAAGATTACCGATCTGAGGTTTGTTCTGTCATGAATGTTTTACAACCAGTCCAAATCATTGGCTATCTTTCGTCCAATTATCACTGAGAAGCAAGGATCTTTTTTCAAGAGACTGAATTGCACTGTTATCTTGGTAGGTTGCGAGCCTGATAGCTGAATTAACATCGGCTGCGGCTGCAGAGAGAGGGCTCACATTCGACGAAGGCATAGAGGAGCGGCTTTGTGCTTACTCCAGGGCTGTGGCACACTTCCCTACAGCTGTGAAAGAGGCAAGTCCTACCAATGAGGATCTATTGAGAAGTTAAGCCCGAACATTGTTTTATTCCCTGCTAAATTAAAATATGCTAATTTGAATGGAGCAGTTCAAGTGGAGGAATGGTTGGTTTTACTCCCTCACCGAGAAGGCGCTTGCAGCAGGAAAGCCAGATCCTTGCCCACTACACACAGCTTGGCTCAAGGAGATTAAGGTCGTATAAAATGTTTTCATCTACATGAGCTTCGTTAGAATCACAAAACAGTTGCATGTTACCTATATAGAGAAAATTGCTTGTTCCCTGTATACTTTTTGGTGTCTTGTGTCAAAACAAAATGCCTGAAAGGTTTGCTGCCATCAGTGTCGAAATGTTAAATCAAACTGGGACTAGACATGTCTTAAACCTTATCATAGAGGCAATGTGGTTCCACCTAACAAGATTTTGAGCCTGTTTGGCATGGCTTATACTCCGTCCATTTTTTTTTACATGTCATATTAGCTTTTGTCCTAAGTCAAACATTTGTATCATTGACCATCGATTTCAAAAAATTTAGATTAGATAGGTTCATGACATGCGATTTGCGTTTTTAGATTCACTATGAGAAATAATTTCATAGTATATAATTCATATGTTATGAAAGTATAAGAAATTTTTAAAATGAATGGTCAAAGATATGTTTGACTTAGGACGAAGCTAATATGACATGTAAAAAAGAATAGAGGGAGTACTAGCTTTGGCTTCACCACTGTTCATATTCTTGTGCTTAAGAGGTGTGAATATTGTATCAGGAGTCGGTGAAGAAAAAAAATGCCTTCATCGGCTCTTCATTTTGGGTTGATGGGGATTGAGGATGGAGCCAGAGTCGCTCTTCATTTTGGGTTGATGGGGATTGAGGGTGGAGCCAGAGCCGCTACAGTACGAAACGGGCCTTGTGAAGGCTGTTGTGTGAACACCGGACTAAAGGCTCCCACGTGCCTTGACTCTGCCACTAGGACTTGTCGACTTGGTCCGGGTGGTGTCTTGGTTCATCCACTCAGAGCAGATCCATTTATTGCTCGTGTGGACAAGAGCATGAGAACCTTCAGCATCTAGCAATGGCGCTCCGAACAAGGAATCAATCAAGGTTCCTGCAAGCCTTCTTTCTTCTGTTGCTCTGCACATCCACATCCCATGGTACCGAGGAAGAATCAGGCTCACTTCTCCGGTGGAAATCTACGTTGTTGCCGGCCAATGGCGGGGAAGAGCCATCATCCCCTTTGCTCTCATGTCTGGCTACCAAGCCGACATGCTCCTGGCGTGGCATCATGTGTGACGCTACAGGCCGTGTCGCCGAGCTGAGCCTTCCTGGCGCTGGCCTCCATGGCACGCTCAGTGCCTTAGACTTGGCTACATTCCCGGCGCTCACCAAGCTTGACCTCCTGATATGATCCCGCTAGGGTTTGTTCCCGATCTTTCGATGAGAGGTGTGGGATAACTCGATTGATGGGTGGAGACGACGTTCACGGCCCGGCTACAGCCTTCCAAGCTGCGCCTTAGCAACCGATACACCACCTCCAACAGCTGCCGCGATCATGTGGAGCGCGATCAACCAAACCACTAGGGTAATTCCTGCAAGCAATCGAGGAACAAGCAAGAACAAGTAGAACAAGCAACTCAATTGCAAATATGGAGATGAAAACCAATCTGAAATCACAAAGTTGGGGTTCTGAATTAAGTAGAACGGATGGTCTAGTCGACACACGCGTCTACAAGGAAGTAGCAATGGCTAAACTTTCAACAAAACAAAACCCAATCTCTTTGTGGCGGCTCTAATCCTTATTAATACCTAGGGGAACGGCCAGGGGGATGTTGGGGTCGTTCTCCAACCCTAGGACACGTCCCTAATGGACCCAACTTGATACATGGGTCATCGGCCCAAAATAGGGTGACGCAGCACCAAAGGCAGAAAAGGTCCCGGCGTTGAAACGACGACTGCGGAAGCATCGGATAGGATGTAACCATGAGTCCAGATCCGTTGGAAAATAGACTTGATAAGCTTTCCAAAAAAAGTGCTAGAACGTCCCAATCGAAGTCCGTATGAAGTCATGGCGACCGTCGCAATTTGGGACTATTTTGCAGTCCGAATTCAACTTCCAAAACGTGTTGGACTTGGACTCTTTCTGTCCTTGGAACCAAAGTGACGTGGTGGCCTAGTGGAGGACATTAGGAATACTTGGATTTGGTCCCCAATCAACTTCATTAACCTTCCATGCTTTCCATATGCAATCAAACCTTCCCTTTATCCATGTAAGTAATTCTGAAAATGAGAATGAACACACATCATGGTGCAGCATCAATTCATCAAATGTATCAAATACAATCATGATAAAGAATTGTTTCACCTGTGAATCAAAAGTTGCCAATGTGGTTATATCCAAGCAGGTGATGTCCTCATCACCTCCACAACAACAACATCAGTGGCAGCATCCCGGCAAACATCTCCAGCCTGACGTACCTTGACATGTCGCAGAACAGCTTGTCCGGGGAGATACCGGACACCCTACCATTGATGAGGCAAAGGATGAGGTACCTCAACCTGTCCGCCAATGGATTGTACGGTTCGATACCACGGTCGCTTTCCAACATGCGTGACATGCGAGTGTTCGATGTGTCAAGAAACAAGCTCACTGGGGTCATTCCTCCGGATCTGTTCATGAATTGGCCAGAGATCACATCGTTCTACGCACAGAGCAATTCCCTCGCTGGAAGCATCCCTCCAGAGATCAGCAACGCATCCAAACTACAGACCTTGTTTCTCCACCGCAACAACTTATATGGTAAAATCACAGTGGAGATTGGAAGAGTAGCAAGTTTGCAGCGTCTCATGTTGTCATGGAATTCCCTCACTGGACCGATTCTGCATTCAGTAGGAAACCTAACAAGTCTTGTGCTTCTGGGAATCTTCTGCAACAACCTCATTGGGAAAATACCGCTAGAAATCGTCAATTTGACGGCACTGGAGTCCCTTGATCTTGACACCAATCAGCTAGAGGGTGAGGTGCCCCAAGCCCTCTCAGCCCTCCAGAGTCTCCAATTCCTCAACATTAGCAACAATAAGTTATCTGGTGTAATACCATACCTCAACACCAGGAAGTTGCTTGCCATCAGCTTAGCAAACAATATCTTCACTGGAGTATTTCCTATAGTGCTTTGTCAACAGTCGTATCTTCAAATCTTGGACCTATCAAACAAGAAGTTATATGGCAAACTCCCCCGCTGCTTGTGGAACATGCAGGATCTACTGTTCATTGATTTGTCAAGCAATGCCTTCTCTGGGAATGTCCAAATGTCAAAGAACTTCAATTTATCACTAGAATCAGTGCACCTAGCGAATAACGGTCTCAATGGAGGATTCCCAAATGTCCTTAAGCGATGCAGAAGGCTGCTGATTCTGGATCTTGGTGAGAACAAGCTTTCTGATACAATTCCTTCATGGATAGGATTTAGCAATCCCTTGCTAAGGGTGCTCATATTACGGTCAAACATGCTCCATGGGAGTATTCCTTGGCAGCTATCACAGCTCTCTTTCCTCCAGCTGCTTGATCTATCAGGCAACAGTTTTATAGGTTCCATCCCTAGAAATCTCTCCAATCTAACATCCATGATGCAACCAAAATTGGAATTCAACATACCTCTGCAAATCAGCTACCAAATTCTACATCATCTTGTCTTATATATATACACTGAGCGGATCAACATAAACTGGAAGAGGCAATATCATACTTTTGAAGGAGCCATTGCACTTATGACAGGTATTGATTTGTCAAGTAACTATCTCTCTGGTGACATTCCTCCTGAGTTTACAAGGTTTGTGGGTCTCAGGTTCCTAAACCTGTCAAGAAATCATCTATCTGGCGGTATTCCTAAAGACATTGGTAACTTGGTGATTTTGGAGACCCTTGACCTATCTTTGAATGAACTCTCTGGCTCTATTCCTTCAAGCATCTCTGAATTGCTGTCCCTTAATTTGCTAAACCTTTCCAACAACCATCTGACAGGTGAGATACCAACAGGTTCTCAACTCCAAACGCTTGTGGACCCGTCAATTTACAGCAACAACTTTGGGCTATGTGGTTTCCCACTGGACATAGCATGTTCAAATGGTTCAAACTCTATAGCAGCACTTATTGGACACAGCCATGCCCATGAGATTGAAGCCCTAATCTGGTATTACTCTGTGTTAGCTGGGCTGACATTTGGATTCTGGTTATGGTCTGGGCCACTGCTTCTCTTCAAGTCTTGGAGGGTTGCCATATTCCGCTGTGTTGACCATATACAAGATAGGGCTGCAAAATGGATATTCGCCATCTAATCTCCATTTGATGTGGTACAGCCTTGTAAAATAGTTAAAGTCCCGTTTGGAGTGGGAGTGTTAATTTGGCTGGAATGTTTCAGATCCAAATCAAATTTGAATAACATAACTTTCCGGTGAAATTGTTCGCTGGTTGGTTTCTGGGCTGATTTGGGCTGGCTGGTGCTGGTTTGTTGTGAGAAGAAAACACTGTTGGCTGGCTGGTTTGGGCTGGCTGAAACCAACAAGCGAACATGGTTTTCCCTGTTTTATTTGTTCTCTACTATTCTTCTTCTTTTGCAACACTAATTACGTTTCAAAATCGTGTTAATCTGACATTAGGGGTGTGTTTGGCAGGGATTGGGCTACTCTAATAAACGTTCCTAGAGAGAAACTAATTCTATTTCTCAAGTGAAACTGGTTTTTCTAGCTTCTGTGTTCTAACTTCTAAGAAAATCCGATGAATGTTTCTGATGATGACTAAAATTCCACAATCGTTTTGCAGTGTTTCTACTGTCTCTCAAAAAAATCTGTTCCGTATGGAGACTCAGATGTGTTTTTGGGAGAACTATTTTTGGAGAATCCCTACCAAACACACCCTAGCTCTGGTGAAGCGGTAGTCTCGATTTACCTATCAAATATTTATTGGCCAGCACCAGCATTTTAAATTTGGAAACAACACATCAGTGGTCCCTAAACTTATTCACTAATGCCATTAAGCTCCCTAAATTATCAATTTGATTTTTTATTGATTCATTCGAGGTCCAGATCTCTAATCACTGTTCGTTAGGCTAGTCAGTGTACCAAAGCATCTGTGCTTCGAAAATTCTGCCAGGTTTATTCGTGAACTGGCCAGAGATCACAGTCCCATTCCATGTGCAAGACAATTCCCATCAGGGAGGTTGGGAGATTGACAAAAATGCAGTATCTGCAACAAGTTGTCAGCATCATCATCCGGAATTTAATTGTCATTTCCTTAGCAAACAATAGCTGTTTGCTGAGCTGAACCAGAGCCAAGAGCTTGAAGCGCTAAAGCTGGTGTTACTCCGTATTAGTTGGGCTGACATTTTTTTTTTGGTTATATATGCCAAAAAACACTTGTTATGGTCTGGGCCACTGCTGTTCTTGAGAGTTGAGGCGTTGGAGGATCGCCGTCTTCGGCTGCATCGATCATATATGAGTACATTAATTACGATTTTCAGAAATATGATTTCTGTAGATATGATTTTATATGTAACCACCAAAAGATTTCCAAAAATATAATTTATCTACGATACGATTTTCGTCATATAGACATAGTTTTGGTTCAACCTCACTTTTGTATAGTTACATAAATTTATAGGGTAATAAAATATATACCTCTTGTAGTGTTCCACTCGACGTTAATTGCTCAGTTAACGTTGCATTGTTTTCTTGCCTAAAAAATGACATTGTTTTTGTTTTCGACCAGACGTGCTGAGCCCATGACCTGCTGGGCTCACGGCCTCGCGCTGAGCTGAGCCTATCTCGCACCACTAAAATTTTGGATACCCTCGTCCACTTTAATTCACGGATGTTAGTATGAATTAGAATGAAACTTAAACTAAATTACACTTCAATCTATATCAAGTAGATTGAAGTGAATTCATAAATATCTAAACAAGCCCTAGGACGCCGCGGCTGACGCTGTTCATGCCACGGTCGCGTTCATTGAGCCTTGAGGGTATCGGAGCGATGATGTGCATGTGCACATGTAAACATCCAATAAATAAATAGTCTAATCAAGTTAGAAAACTCGCAATGTAATCATCCAATAAATAGTGCAGTCAAGATAGTTCAAATAAATAAGGCACGGATATAAGCAATGAAACACTAAAAATACGAAGGGGCTTAGGCGTTCCTATCTATGTTTTGAAGTGAAATGATGATTTTATCCTTTTTAAAAAATACTTTGTGATTTTACCCCTACGATTTTCAAATAAAGCGAGACTTTACCCCTACTCTAAAGTTCACCTAACGGTGTTAATTTTTGGATAAAAGGACAACTTTATGCATGTGTTTTTTATCTCTATTTTATTTTGATATTTGTGTTTTTATCCCTATTTTCATATCATCAATTTGGAGAATTCCGATAAAGAATTATACAATTCAATCAGTGCAAAACTCAATAATTTTTAGAAAAAATTGACAGCATTTCAACTAACAATCCATAGAAACAGATATTAATATCACACACAACAAATTAATACCACACATACTGCATGACCAGATCTATATAACATGCCATCATACAGTACCACATGTAACCAATATCTGAGCAACAAAACCAAAATCACCCAGGTTGCAATTCTAAACTCTCAGTCTGTATTCCTGTCTTATTCCTCCTTAATTTCCAACACATCACTGTCTAACTGAACCACCAATCAATTGGATGATGTAGACATGAGTCAAATTTAGTAACTAGCAGTCAATTACTCGATTTAGGGATTGGATAGGAAACAATCAAACAAAGAGGAACTACTAGTATCCTATAAACTGAGGGTCTGTTTGGCAGGGCTTCTCCCCAGCTTTGGCTCTGGCTCCTCCGGAGGAGCCATGCCAAACGTTTTTCTAGATGAACCGTTTTTAAGTAAAAAGTAGAGAATCCGGAACTGTTTTGGAGGAGGCAGGAGCCCCTCAGGAGGAGCCGTGCCAAACACCCCTAAATAAGTGAATTGAGTTTGCTCAGGCACCGTTGCTTCAAGGACGGATGCTCCTCGATGATGTTGCACTAGGGGCATCCCCCTTGTTGTTGAGCCCCTCGTGCCCTCCTCTGTGGAACGGCTTCTGCGATAGTTTCATAGTTCACGTGCGAGCAATTTTTTCTTTTTTTTTGTGCGTGAGCACCCCTCCCCCACGTCCGGCCTTCTTCTTGTTGTCTGGCCACCAATATCTAGCTCCTTGTCGTGGGTCTGCAGCCAGCGCCTGCGGCAGGCAGCACACAAGCTCGAAAATGAAAAGACTGAGATGGATGGGAAGAAATAGACGTGGATCCTACTTTAAGGTCTTTAGTTGGACTTTTTAACATGCTATTGTTTTTCCAAAAGCCAAAAGTTAACCAAAGATGTGAAAAGCCACAACTGCTTTAAATCAAAAGCCATTTTTTTAAATGCATGATTCATTACTTATTAGACATAGCAATCTCGCTGGTCACCAGGTCCTCAACAAATTGAGGTACAAAGCTGATTTTGCTCTAGTACAAAACCCACAACACCTCCCCTCTCGCTTTCATCTGCTTTTGGGCAAAAAAATTACCCATCTGCCACTACTTACGAAGGTACCGGTTCAATTTATTTTCTTCTTTCCCGTCTCCGACCTCTTCCCGTTCGTGAGACCACGCCTCTTTCTTGTCCCTTCTAGCGTCTCTGGCCGGTGGTGGCACTCCTCCCTCTCTCGCGCTCGGCTTCAACGACCCCCACGGCCCCTCCTCCTCTCCGGCCCCTTGAGCAGGCGCGGCTGCGGCCCCTCGCAGACCTTCCTACCGGCGGCTGTGCTCCACTGTGGCCTCACGCCGCGCGGTGTCGCACTCGAGCGTGCGAGCAGCTCCGCGCCCTTGATAGAGCCGTGGGTTCACCAGAGCAGTGCCTCTCACCGACCTCCTGCTCTCCGTGCGAATCGACAAATCGAGGAAGAAGAAGAAACGCGCAGAAAAAATGCATTGTGGCTGATAGGTGGGGTCGGCTGACAGGTGGGACCCACTAACCGCTGTTTTTCCAAAAGGTGAAACCAAGCGGCTTTGAGGTTCTTTGAAAGCCCACTAGCCAAAGTAGCTTTTCTAAAGCTTATAGCTTATAACAACTTTTTCAAAAGTTATAGCCCAACCAAATAGAGCCTAAGAGCAGCAGGTTAATACATTTTAAATCCGGTGGAGTCGATATATTATTTTTTTCCGGAGTGGAGGTGGAGTCGATAAAAGCACCCGAACCGAACCGGCGGGCGGCGGCTCGCCTGCCTGACCCGTACTCGGGCAAATGTAAAGCTTGGCCTCTGGGGATCCAGAACTCGAAAGAAACAGCCCAGACAGCCCACGACCGGCCCAGTCTCATCACAAACGCACGCGCACGTCGCCATCGCCCCGCTGTAACCCTACCCTAGCCGCCCCCGAAGCTTCCCGTCCTTGTCCTTGCGGCGGCCGCGGGCGGCGCGGCGAGTCGGCGGCCAGTCGCCCCCATCTCCTACTTGAGCCTCCCAACCTCACCGCCGCTGTCCGCCTCCTCCCCCTCCGCACCGTAGATCTTTCTACTCGGCGCTCAGGAGGACCACTCAATCCACCTTCACTTCACCGTGCGGGATCTGATCGCAATCGGATCCCCGCCGCGGCCGCCTCCCCGGGAGGAGCCCCGGGCCCGACGAGACGGACGCGAGGGTAGACGACGGAGGCGAGGAGGACGACGAGGCGGGGGAGGTGAAGCCCATGCCGGCCGCCGGGGCCCGCCGCTCCACTCGCGTCTTCATGCCCAAGGCGCCCAAGCCTCCGCAATCGCAGGACCAGGCCGACCCCGCCACCCGGGTCCTCCGCTCCGGCAAGCGCCTCGCCGCCGACCGGATCCGCTGGGACGCCAAGGAGCCCACAGCCTTCCACGTCGACATCAACCACGGGCACAGCCACGGCCAGCAGCACCAAAAGGAGGACTGCCCCAAACCGGTATTGCCACCTCTGACGAAGTCCTTCGGGATCGTGTACAGCAGGAAACGCCGCCGCCAGAGCAACTCCGCCGCTGAGGTCGTCGCTGAGGACGAGGACGGCAGCAGGAGGTTTGGGATAGTATATACCAGGAGGAAGGGCAAGCGATTGAAGGTCAGCCCTCTCCTTCTCCCGCAAGAGCCAGAGGCCCCCTGTGACCTCGCCGCCGCGATTCCATGCTCCTCCTCCCGGGAGTTTGCGTCAAGAACTGGCTTTTTGGATGCCCATTTCTCGGCCCTGGTAGATGGTGCCGCCACTCACTCTGGGGCTCAGACGCTGATCATCCTTGTTGATACGTCTTGCCCTGGGAGCTCTCACC